CAGCTAGTAGTTACTGAGCTTGGCAGTTTTACATAGGTTATTTACTTAAGTGTTGTATCAGCTGTTTGGGGTAGGTGCCGTTATCATTTTATAGATGAGGATGCTAAAGAAGCTAAGTCTTGCCCGGGGTCCCACAGCTGCTTGTGCGAAGCCGTAACATGATCATAGGTCTGTCTGACACTGACGTCTGAGCTGCTTCTCTTCATCAGGCTGAGGCATGTGTGACAACCTGAGCTTGCCAGGTATCCTGGAGGAGGAGAAGGGCCAGGGAGAGGAAGGTGGAAGGAGAAGCAAGGATGGTCAGATAGCAGGGCTCACTCCTGGGGCATGGGGAAAAGTCCTGGTTTGGGAAGGGACCATTTAGTTGAGGAAGGTAAGTACTAAACAGGGGCTTGAGGAGTTGCCTGCCAGGTAGGCAGAAATGCCTAAGTAGAGGGTCCTGGCACATTATGATAACTTTATAAATGAGGAAAGAGTCTCTTTATTCCATCAAGCATGTCTGCAAAGTCACTATGAGAAATAAAGCTTTTCCACACACCAAAGGAACATGGTGAGTTAAAAAAGAGAGAGATTTTATTTTAATAGGTAATATAGTTACGTGGGCCAAACTCCAAAAGGTGCACACTGAATTTTAATCGTTTTTAAAGTAGTAGTTTCATTTTGCTAAAACAACAGCAACAAAACAAAGACTCTCAACATCAATATCCCACAGCCAAGCTAGATGAATGCAGAGGTCACTGGTGAAGAGCTCAGCTTAATATTCCTCTCTGCTGCTGACAGCATTTTCTCTAACTAAATATGAATTTTGAAATGTGCGCTACATGAACTTGTGGTCTTCCTCAGTCAGGCTTCATTGCTAGTGAAGCTTCATTGGCAGTGCACAGAGGAACAGTGTTGCAGCTTGTAGGAATTCCAGTTGTCAGCTTTTCCAGAGGTTATAGGAGACAGCAGCCCTTGCTTTCTTAGTTTTATCTGAGAAGGATCCTTTACTCTAATTATTAGATAAGCATGTACAAGTAGGACTTCCCTCTTTGGTTTGTTTTTTTTAGCTACCTTCCTCCTTCCGAATAGAGTTTTGGGAACTTTTATTTTATTTCTACTGCAACCTCTTCTTCAGGAAGTAGCTCAAAACTCTGTAACATGTGCTGGAAAAAGTATGGTTTACCACTCTGCTGACATTAGAGGCCAAAAATGTTGCCATGCAAACATTTGTCTGTTACAGGCTGTACTAACTGGAAATGTTTTTGCTAGGTGCTATGACAGCACTTTGACCTTTCACGGTGCGAAGGAAGTTGCAATCTTAAAAATGACCTACTCAGCTAGTGGGAAATTGTGGGTAGACCCCAACTGAGATTTCTGTTAAAGAATTCTGTCTTTTAGGGAGGGATAGATAAGTGAGGCCTGTCACATTGCTTGTGAGTTAGGAGCAGAGACAATGTTTTCCTCTCTCCCTCCCTGAGATGTGATGTTTCCAAAGAAAGAAACCTCAGGTGGGGAAGACAGAGACACCTGCCTCTTGGTTTGAGCTGGGAGGAGTATCCTGCCTGCAGTAAGCCACAGAGAAGAAGGCCTGATGTGATATTTGTGTCATGATTCTCCCACCCACATTACCTTGGCTGCCTCGTAGTGTGATTGCATGCCTTGCTTGTAGAGGGTAAGGGCCTGGGTACATTGAATCTGTAATTAGTACAAAGAAAAGCTTCATGAGGGCTGCCTGGGGCTTCAGCCAAATAAAGTCAGAGAGGTGGGGCAACTGCCCAGGGAAATTAAAGAAAGTCACTGTCACCACTACTCAAACCAGCTGATGGCCTCTCACTAATCACCCACTGTGAGGTTCATTATCTGATCCACCTTGCTGAAGGGCCCAGCCAGTGTCAGATCAATAAATCTCAGGGCATTGGAAAGCCCTTTAGTAACAGGCTTGAAAGACATGGATGGACTAGGGGAGTTGGCCAGCTTACACTGGTTCTGAAATTGAGTTTAGTCCTGAAATATAGGAGATGAAAATAGAGAGAGAAAATAAAGGGGGGAAACATCTACATATTATATGCAGGATGGCTGTATAGAGGAAACAGTTACCTTTTAAAAGGTACTATTTTTTTTTTTTCCCCTAAGAGATTTGTGTCCACCTTTTGGATCCTAGGTTCCAAACAATTATATTGGATGACTGTGCCCTGGAGAGAGATTCAGGTTATCTTGGATTGAAGATCACTGTAAACACATCGTAGAGGGAGGGTCCCCACGCAGTAGAGTCAGATTTTGTTACCAGGTTGTTATGTGTTCTAGTTCCTGGGCTATTGGCTTGTTTTCGTTGTTTCAGCCACTTTGGGCTAAAGTGTTTTGAAAAAGAACCAATTCTTATCTCTTAAGGAAGCTCTCAGAACCTCTCTTGGTCTTAAGAATCTCTACTTCTGAGTGTCTTTGGTTAGTGCAGTAAGACAAGGAATACATGTCCTAGCCTCAAGTTTCCGAGATTCACTTTTTCAGTGCAAAAGTACAGAAGTATCTGCTGTGTGCCAAGCCAGGGGCTATAAAAATGCAAAATTCATGCCTCCCCTTGAAGACTTCACAGTATGAGAACCATCATCGCTGTTTTCTTGCTTAGACTTTTGCCTGTGTGTTCTCCTATAGACCTCAGGGGATGTATGTGACATGTTTACAGCCCCTCCTGTCCCTTTATAAACCTAAGATAAAACCTTCCTGTTCTTCTCATAACCTAGAGAAATATTGCCTTAGAAATCCATAAATGGTGGGCCAATGACTCTTTTGAAGTGGGTTTCCATAAGGAGAGTCCTCACTATCTCATATCTTTATCTTTGCCTCATTTTCTTAAAAGGCAAAATCATGGGTGCCTGGGTGGCTCAGTGGGTTAAGCCTTTGCCTTCAGCTCAGGTCATGATCTCAGGATCCTGGGATCAAGCCCTGCATTGGCATCAGGCTCTCTGCTCAGCAGGGAGCCTGCCTCCCCCTCTCTGCTTGCCTCTCTGCCTAGTTGTGATCTGTCAAATAAATAAACACAATCTTAAAAAAAAAAAAAAAGGAAAAATCAGGACCATCATTAGGTTGGTAAAAGCAGGACCTTATAAGCCTCCAAGCTTGGCAAATGATTTGAGTTTGTCAGAAGGTTCGGGTAAGTACAGCCACTTAGAAAAACTTCAGGTGGCTAGTGCCCAGCTGAAAATTATTCTAAACACTGTTGATTGCTACACACAGTCCATTTAAGTTGTCAGGGAGGATTTCCAGGAGTGGAGGAGTAGATGGGAGGAACACAGTGAGGGGAATCCTTGGCATTGTCAAAATACTGAGAACTCCTAGCTCAGAGTTTCTTTTCTAATATATCAATCTGAATCATTCTTGGCCCCAAGCAAAAATAGAATAGTAAGACCAAAAAAAGACATAAGCTGGGGCTCCTGGATGGCTCAGTCATTAAGTGTCTGCCTTCAGCTCAGGTCATGATCCCAGGTGCTGGGATCGAACCCCACATCGGGCTCCACGCTCAGCAGGAAGCCTGCTTCTCCCTATCCCACTCCCCCTGCTTGTGTTCCCTCTCTCACTGCCTCTCTCTCTGTCAAATAGATAAATAACATCTTTAAAAAAAAAATACATAAGCTTATTCCATGACCATACATCTTTTTATAACTAGCCATTATTTACTGAATTTTTAAAAACTTTATTGTATAATTAACATATAATAAGACATAATAAGACATTTATGCAAATACATATGTCCACCACCCCCACAACATTGAACATTTCCATCACCTAAAAAAGTTCTCCTTTAAAGTCACTCTTCTCTGAGTCTCTGCCCTAGGCAAGCATCCATGTGTTTTTTTGTCACTATAGATTAGATTTGTCTTCTGTAAAATTTTGCATAAATATATATGTGCTCTTTTGTATCTGAGATTCATCTATGTTGTGACAGTCTTAAATATTTACTCAAGAGAAATGAAAATATGTCCACCTGGGGCACCTGGGTGACTCAGTCAGTTAAGCATCTGCCTTTGGCTTAGGTCATGATCCCAGAGTCCTGGGATCCAGCCCCTGTGTCAGGCTCCCTGCTCAACAGGGGAGTCTGTTTCTGCCCACTTCCTCCCTGCTCATGCTCTCGCTCTCTCTCTCAAATAAATAAATATTTTTAAAAATATGTCCACCCAAAAACTGTTACACAGATGTTTATAGTAGCATTATTCATAACCCCAAACTAGAAACAACCTAAATGTCTATCAGCAACTGAATAGATAAAAAATATGATACATCCATATAATGGAATATTATTCAGCCACAGAGAGGAATGAAGTACTGATACCTGGTGCAATAGGGATGACTCTTAAAAACATACGCTAAGTGAAAGAAGCCACTCACAAAAAGCCAGAAGATGCTATTTATTTGAAATGTTCAGAATAGATACATCTATAAAGACAATAGATTAATGGCTACCCAGGACTAACAGGATGGGGAATGATTGCTAATGGGTATGAAGTTTTTTGAGGGGTTCATGAAAATGTTCTAAATTTAGATCATAGTGGTAGTTCCACAAATATGTGAATATATTGTACACTTTAAATGAATGAATTTTATGGTATATAAATTATGTCTCAATAAAGATCTTAAAGAAAAACTACCAAACTGTTTTAAAAAGTTGTACCATTTCAGGGGCGCCTGGGTGGCTCAGTGGGTTAAAGCCTCTGCCTTCAGCTCAGGTCATGATCCCAGGGTCCTGGGATCAAGCCCCACATTGTGCTCTCTGCTTAGCGGGGAGCCTGCTTCTCCCTCTCTCTTTGCCTGCCTCTCTGCCTACTTGTGATCCCTGTCTGTCAAATAAATAAATAAATAAAAATCTTAAAAAAAAAAAAAAAAGGCTGTACCAATTCTCATTCCAACTGACAATGAATATAAGTTTCAGCTACTCCATATTCTTCTCATATTTGGAATTGTGTTTTTAATTTTACCCATTATATGGGTATGCAGTGCTGTCATCATACTGTATACTTACTATCACCTTTTGTCTTGTTGCATCTGAGAGAGCAAGATGGGTCACCAGCAGCTCTGCTGGAGCCATCTGAGGAAATTTGACCAGGGTGCTGCTGCTTGCTGCATCTGCTCATACTGACACAGTTTGATCTGGAAATATAGCCTATGGCCTCAATATATGCTGCCAGTATTTCCGCCAGTACTCAAAGGATACAGGCTTCATTAAGTTGGGTTAAGTGAACTTCCTTGAATGGGTCATCCATTCAAGGCAGCACATACGCTAAAATTGGAATGATATAGCGAAGATTAGCATGGCTCCTGTGCAAGTTTGAAATGCAAATTTGTGAAGTATTCCATATTTTTACTAGGAAAAAAAAGTGTTTTGAATATTCTAGGGTCCTTCGCATTTCCATATAAAGAGTGAAATTAGCTTGTCCATTTCTATAAAAAAAGTCTGCTTAGATTTTGACTGAAATTGCTTTAACTCTAGGTGAACTTTGGGGAGAATCGACACTTTAATAATATTGTTTATTTAATATTTATTTATTTAATATTTAATATTTAATATTTATTTAATATTTAATGATATTGTTTTCAAATCCATGAACTTAATATATATCCATTTATTTAGATCTTTTACATCTTTTTCTCATCAGTGTTTTGTAGTTTTTGAGCATCCTATTTTGTTCAGTCTTTCCCCTTATTCCATTATTTATGTTATATAAATGGTATTTTTGACTTTCAATTTTTTTTCTTAGTGTTTAGATAGAATAGTTTTATATTGACCTTTTTGCCTGAAGCTTTGATAAACTCATATTTAATTCTTTTTTTATGGTCCTTAGAGTTTCCTGTGCTCATAAGCATGTTGTATACTGATCATTTCAGTTTTACTTCTTTCAGATCTGTATATCTTTGATTTCTTTTTCTTTCCTTATTGCACTGGTTGGGACTTCCAGTAAAATACTGAAATGAGTAGACCTGTCTTTCAGATTTCCAAAAGAAAGCATTTGGTCTTTCATCATTAAGTAATGTGTTAGCTGTCAGTTTTCAGAGATTCCCTGTGTTAGGTTGAGGAAATTTCCTTCCATTCTGAGTTTGCTGAGAATTTTTTTATCATGAATACATGTTGAATTTTATCAGTGCTTTTTTTTGCATATACTGAGATGATTATAGGGATTTTCTCTCTCCTTTTTAAGTATTTTTTTAAGTAGTCTCTGTACCCAGTGTGGGGCTCCAACTTACCAACCCCAAGATCAGAAGTTGCATGCTCTACTCCCTGAGCCAGCCAGGTGCCCCTGGATTTAATCCTTATTCTGGTATAGAGTTATGGTGATTAATTATAATACTAACTTAACCTTATATTCCTGGGATAAACTCCTCTTGATCATGATGCAGTATTTATTTTATATATTACAGAATTTGAATTGCTAATATTTTGTTGATTATTTTTATCAGTGTTTATAAGGGATGTCAGTTCCATAGTTTCCTTGCAATGTCTTCGGTTTTGATATTAGAATAATGTTGCTCTATAAATAAGTTGTGCACTATTCCTTCCTCCATTTTTAAAAAAGAGTTTGTGTAGGATTGGATTATATCATGCTTAATGATTAATAGAATTAACAAGTGAGGGCATCTGGGCCTAGAATTTTCTTTGCAGGAAGAATTTTTTACCCAACATTTTATTATGAGAAATTTCATGGGTCCCTGAATGACTCCAGTTGTTTGGGTACCCATTTCAGCTGGGCTCATGATCTCAGGGTTGTGGGATTGAGCCCCACATGGGACTCCACACTGAGCATGGGGACTGCTTGGGATTCTCTCTCTCTGCCCCCCATCTCACTCTCTCTCTCTCTCTCTCTCTCTCAAAAAAATACAAAGAAAGAAAGAAAATTGAAAATACACAGTAAAGATGGAAAGAATTACACAGTGAATATCAATATAATCACCACTTAGATTCTGTTGTTTACACTTTGCTGTGTTTTATCACATACCTGATCCATAAGTGGCTCTCCATCAAGCCATCTTAGTTTTTTATGCATTTCAAAGTAAATTGCATATATCAGTATACTTCTGTGGGAAGCATTTTTTTTAAGTTTTATTTATTTGTCAGAGAGAGAGAGTGAGTGCACAGGCCGGGGGAGCTGTAGGCAGAGGGTGTCCCTGGGAGAAGTATTTTAATTATTCAGTTTCTCTAATAAATTTAGGGATAGTCAGGTTTTCTACTTGTTCTTGAGCCAGTTTTAGTCATTTGTGTCTTCAAGGAAGTTATTTATTAATGTGTGTTGTTAAATTTATTGGCACAAGTTGTTCATATATAGCCTATATCCTTTTTCCCTTTAATTGCCCATAGGATTTGGGGCACCTGGGTGGCTCAGTCAGTTAAGTGTCGACTCTTGATTTGGTTCAGTTCGTGATCTCAGGGTCATGAGACTGAGTGCACAAGCACAGAGCAAGAGGGAGAAGCAGACTCCCTGCTGAGCATGGAGCCTAATCTGGGGCTGGATCTCAGGACCCCAGGATCATGACCTGAGCCAAAGGCAGATGCTTAACCAACTGAGCCACCCACATGTGAAGTCTCCTTTGTCAGATATTACAATAGCGATTCTACTTTAATTAGGGTCTTCAGAAGGATATCTTTCTCCATCTTTCAACTTTCAGCCTATCTGTGTCTTTATATTTTAGGTGAATTTCTTTTAGACAACCCAAAGTTGGATCTTAATTTTATGTCCAATCTGACAGTCTCTGTCTTTTGATTAAAGTGTTACATTTAATTTATTTATCAGTTTGCCTGAGTTAAAATCTGCCATTTTACTGTTTTTTTTTCCCCTTTTTCTCCACCTGTTCTTTTTTTTCTTTTCTGCCTTCTTTTGGATTAATTGTGTGTCTTTTAGTATATTTTATGTCCAATGTTGACTTTTTACCTGTACCTCTTCATTTGGTTTTTAGTGGTTGCTCTTTATCACAATGTACCTTCAAAATAATGTTATATGACTTCATGTAACATGGAATAACCTTGCAGTCATTTGTTCTATTTGCTTCCTGTGTACTAGTGTTGTCATACATTTATAAATTTTCTTCCAGGTCTTATAAATACATTGCTATTACTATTATTATTTCTTAAACAGGAGAAAACCCAAATCTAATAGTGTACATAGGCACATGGGGGAATGCACACAACATAGGAATTCCCACATTGCTATTATTTTTTGATTTAAAGAGTCAATTACCTTTTTTCTCATTTTAAAATTTATATTAAAGTATTTTGTATTTATCCATGTATTTGCCATTTCCAGAGTTCTTCATTCCTATTTATAGACCCAGATAAAGTAATTTTCCTTCTGCCAGAAGGACTTCTTTTAACATCTCTGTAGTGCAGGACTTTTGGCAACATATTCTCTCAGATTGTTTGAAAAGATCTGTATTTCACCCTCATTTCTGAAGGATGTGTTGCTGGATATAGAATTCTAGCTTAACAGTACATTTTGGGGGGCACAGATAGTATTTTGTTGTTTTCTGGTTTATATAGTTTCTGACAAGAAATGTGAATTCTTCTCTTTTTTCCCCTTTCCATGTAATATATTCTTTCCCCTCTGGCTGCTTTTGATATTCTGTAGTACTAATTCTCAGCAATTTTATTGTGTTGTCCTTTACATCTTCCATTTTGTTTCTTATTATGTTCATGGACATTTTAAAATACTTGAACACATTTATAATACCTTTTTTTTTTTTAAGATTTTATTTATTTGACAGAGAGACACAGTGAGAGAGGGAACACAAGCAGGGGGAGTGGGAGAGGGAGAGGCAGGCTTCCCGCTGAGCAGGGAGCCTGATGAGGGGCTCGATCCTAGGACCCTGGGATCACGACCTGAGCGACCTGAGCCGAAGGCAGACGCTCAAGGACTTAGCCATCAACGTGCCCTATAATAGCTCTTTTTATTTTAGAGGTGGGGCAGAGGGAAGAGGAAGAGAGTTTTCTTTTTAAAGATTTTATGTGTTTTAGAGTGTGCACACATATACGCAAGGGAGCAGGGGGAGGGGCAGAGGGAAAGGAGAGGAACTAGCAGAAACTCTGGCTGACCACTGAGCCTGATGTGGGACTTAATCTCAGGATCTGATCATGAGCTGAGCTGAGATCAGTAGTCGGATACCTCACCCACTGAGCCATCCAGGTACTCCAGAGAGAGAGAATCTTAAGCAGGCTCCATGCTCAGCATGTATCCCAACACAGGGCTTAGTCTCATGACTGTGAGGTCATGACTTGAGCCAAAATCAAGAGTCGGACTCTTAACTCACTGAGCCACCAGGCTCCCCTTTAATAGTTACTTAAATGTCCTTGCTTTTTTTTCTTTTTTTAAGATTTTATTTATTTATTTGACAGAGAGATCACAAGTAGGCAGAGAGGCAGGCAGAGAGAGAAGAGGAAGCAGGCTCGCTGCCGAGCAGAGAGCCCAATGTGGGGCTCGATCCCAGGACCCTGAGATCATGACCTGAGCTGAAGGCAGAGGCTGTAACCCACTGAGCCACGCAGGCGCCCCTAAAAGTCCTTGCTTTTAATTCCAATATCTCATTTCTAGATTTGACTCTCAGAGAGATTGATCTCTCATTTGACTAATGCTCCCTTCTAACCAAAAGAACCACTTTACATGTCTGGTAATTTTTTATTGGATATTTGGCATTGTCAGTATTATGTAGTTGAATGCTAGATTTTGTTGTCTTTATTAAATAGTGCCGGATTGGGGCGCCTGGGTGGTTCAGTGGGTTAAGCCTCTGCCTGTGGCCCAGGTCATAATCTCAGGGTTCTGGGATCAGCCCCGCATGGGGCTCTCTACTCAGCGGGGAGCCTACTTCCCCCTCTCTCTCTGCCTGCCTCTCTGCCTACTTGTGATCTCTCTCTGACTGTGTCAAATTAAAAAAAAAAAAAATCTTTAAAAACAAATAAATAAATAATTAGTGTTGGACTTTGTTCAAGAAGGCAGGTAAATTCTTTTTTTTTTTTTTAATTTTTTTTTTTTTAAAGATTTTATTTATTTGACAGAGATCACAAGTAGGCAAAGAGGCAGGTAGAGAGAGGAAGGGAAGCAGGCTCCTCGCTGAGGAGAGAGCCCGATGTGGGGCTCGATCCCAGGACCCTGAGATCATGACCTGAGCCAAAGGCAGCGGCTTAACCCACTGAGCCACCCAGGCGCCCAAAGGCAGGTAAATTCTTTTGGAATAGCATGGTCCATTTGAAACTGCCTTTTTTGTTGTTATTGTGATCTCTTTATTCCCCCAGTTTTATTGAGATATGATTGACATACACCACTTACAAGTTTAAGGTGTACAGCACAATGACACGATTTATGTATATTATGAAATGATTACCACAGTAAGTTTAA